ATCTTTGGTGTTAATTAACCTCTCTATGCCTGTTTCCTTATCTGTAAAATGAGGACAATAGTTGTATCTATTTCCAATGTTGTTTGGAGAATTAATTAAGATGACATATGTGCAGTGTTTACAATAGTATTTGGCCCGTGGTCAACAGTGAATACAGTTTAGCAATTGTTATTGTAACTTGGCAATGTGTGCTCTGAGTCTGCCTGCCAGGAATATAAGCCATTTGGGATCCCTGCTCTCTTTCTCTAGCAAACCTGCAGAACACCTGCTAAATACCTCTTACAGACTGAATCCTGCGTCCTCTCCCACCTCCAAATTCATATGTTGAAGTGCTAACTCCCAAATGTGACTGTATTTGGAATTAGGGCCTTTAGGGAGCTAATTAAATGAGGACATAAAGGTGGGGTGATAACCCGATAGGACTGGTGACCTTATTAGAAGAGGAAGAGAAGCCAGACCTTACTCTTTCTCCATCACACGCAGAGAAAAGGCCACATGAGGACACAGCCAGAAGGTGGCTGTCTGTAAGCCAGGAAGAGAGGCCTCACCAGTAACCAGCCCTGGCACTTGAACCTTGGACTTCCCGCCTCCAGAACTCTGAGAAATTAATGTCTCTTATTTAAGCCACCAATCTAGAGTATTTTATTATGGCAGCCCTGGGAGACTAATAGCATTATGAAATTGCATTATTTAAATATTCAGGACAGATGTGGTGGCTTACGCCTAAAATCTCAGCACTTTGGGAGGCTGAGGTAGGAGGATCGATTGAGCCTAGGAGTTTGAGACCAGCCTGAGCAACATAGCCAGACCCTCCCTGTCTCTACTAAAAACAAAAAATTATCTGGGTGGTGGTGTGCCTATATTCCCAGCTACTTGGGAGGATGACCTATTATCACCTGAATCCAGGGGAGGTGGAGGCTGCAGTGAGCCCTGATCGAGCCACTGTACTCCAGCCTGGATGACAGAGACCTTGTCTCAAGAAGAAAACCAAAAACCAAACCAAACCAAAAAAACCTGTTGCCTTTAGAGATGAAGATGGAGCTGTGGAGTTTGAGTATCCTCAAATTCACTCATTGATGTGAAAGGCTGTTTGGAATTTTTTCTTCTGCATGTATCTCTCAGGTGTACAGTGTTCAGAAAATGGAAGTAGGGATTGTGTAAACCATCTGGGTTTAAGAAAATCAGGGCCACGTGATTGCTTTTTGGAATCTTTTATCAAAGATTTTCTAAGATCTTGATTAATTAGCAAATCTGAGAGAGCACAAGATCTAAAAGAGTTTTTCAGCCCACACTGAATTTCCTAGTTAATCTCTGGAAGATAAAGTCAGGTTTGGTTTCTACGTATTTTTACTTTGAAATGCGGAGAAAATGTCGAAACTTAGGCAGTGATCGTCCAAATTAAAAGTCATTCTTTTATGAGTTCCTTGCGTTTGCAAACTGGTTTTGCGCCTGGCAAGCTTGGACCCCGTCCATAGTGGGGCGCCAGGAGACGGCTGGGCCTCTGTCCCCAAGTCAGGGCTGGGTCCCGGGCGTCCCCGCCCCAGCCGGCGCCGGGACCGCCCGACTCCCCGCCCCTCCGCCGCCCCCGCCCCAGCCGCAGGGGGCAGGACAGGAGGCGGGCGCCCGGCTCGTCCAGTCCCCCCGAGCCTTTTAAAGCGTGGCGCGCTGGGGCCGGGCACGCGGAGCTCCGCGGCGGAGACAGCGGTTCGCCCAGCTCCCGGGAGCGGTGAGAGCAGCCAAGCGCCTAGGGCTGCCCTTCCCAGGCCGGCGGGCTGCCCGGGCTCCCCGCCGCCTCCCCGTGCGCCCCGGGAGGGCCCGGCATGCTGCGCCCGCTGTTGCTCGCCGCGCTCTGCCTGGCGGGTCCCCCGGCGCCCGCGCGCGCCTGCCAGCTGCCCTCCGAGTGGAGGCCCCTGAGCGACGGCTGCCGCGCCGAGCTGGCCGAGACCATCGTGTACGCGCGGGTGCTGGCGCTGCACCCCGAGGCGCCTGGCCTCTACAACCACCTGCCCTGGCAGCACCACACCGGCCAGGGGGGCCTCTTCTACGCGGCCGAGGTAGAGATGCTGTGCGACCAGGCGTGGGGCAGCATGCTGGAGGTACCCGCCGGCTCCAGGCTCAACCTCACCGGCCTGGGCTACTTCTCGTGCCACTCCCACACCGTGGTCCAGGACTACTCCTATTTCTTCTTCCTCAGGTGAGCCCGGTGCCGCCGCCACCTCTCTGCGCCACCTCCCAACGTCGCCGTTACCTGGAGCCAGGCCGGGAACCCCGGGGGCAGCCTGTCGGTGCCCAGTGAGGATGCGCTTGGGGCGCCTCCCGCTTGCCTTCCTGGCTCTCTCTTGCTCCGTGTGACGTCCCTGCAGACACCCTGGCTACCCTTGCTTAAGGCTGTTTAAAAGACAGGGAGGGTTTCTGTGCCATGCACACAGAAGAAAGAGCATTGCAGGCAAAAGCTCAAAGCGCGCTCCAGCAGTCCCTGTGACTCGGGTTTTTAAACTGGCCTCAGTGGGAGCAGATTGGGACGGTGAGAAATCAGTCTGCAGCTGGCGTTTTGGCTCTGCCCTTTCTAATCGTGATTCCGAGTACTGTACATTTCTTTCACCTTCTCAAGAACTTCCACAGCCTCACCTGTGTAAAGTGAGAAGCAGGGCTGGTTGAGCAGGAAACGTAACTCATGCAGAGCACCTGGCGCAGGGTAGCGGCTGACCAGCTGTCCGCCCTCTCCTCTTCCCGCTCAAATGCCAAGAGGTGAATGGCGTGGAATGCAGTCCAGCATCGCTTCATTATCTCGTATCAGCTGCCAGGTTAGGTGAAATAGCAAAGGTTTATTGGGGGGTAGTGATTCTGCTGCGGGTAAAATCCTGGGTCACAGCGCTTTGCGGAGCGGAGAGGTGAACCCGGCAGGAGGTCCTCTTGATTCTAGACCACTGGACTCTTCTGAAGTTCCATCAGCGTTGGCCTGTGGTCGAGATGGAATGCATCTGCGTAAGAATTCAGTCAATTCTCATTGACTACTGAATTTTTCTGAAATTTGAATAGAGAGCTCCAGGTAGAATCCTAAATTCTTTGGTTGGCTTCAGTTGAATTTGGAGAGGGATATGAAACAACTGAGGAAAGCATCAAAATGGAATGTAACCTATGTATCAAGAGGGTGAGTGAATTAATCCATCATTGTGGAGGTCGGTAGTAGTTGCAGTTTTCCCAGTCTGAAGTAGCACTAAGGATATTTGGAATGAGGCTGACCTGGGTCTGCAGATTCACTTTTTTTTTTTTTTTTTTTTTTTTTTTTTTGAGACGGAGTTTCGCTCGTTACCCAGGCTGGAGTGCAATGGCGTGATCTCGGCTCACCGCAACCTCCGCCTCCTGGGTTCAGGCAATTCTCCTGCCTCAGCCTCCTTGCAGATTCACTTTTAGCTCGCATTTCTCTGAGAAAGAAAACAGTTCTACAAAGTGGTGTTTGTAAGTGCATGGCAACACGTGTTTTCCATATTGAAGCCAGAATACCTGAGATTAAAAAACATGTCTTGCTTTGTGTTGGCTTGAGTGGTTCAGCTAGATTTTTTTTTTTTTTTTTTAATTTCCAGAGAAGTATAGTTTCTAAATAAAGCCAGCAAGGACTGAGAGTGCCCTTCTCAATACAGAGAAACTTAGGGTTTCATGTTTTTAATTAGGAAAAATTCTGAGAATCCATCTATAAAACTGTTCAAAACCAGAACTTTATTCTCCCAAGAAAAAAGCGCCTAAGTACTTGAGCAGGGTTTTTAAAGAAATTTTTATCATGAAACACAGTTTGTCCGATGGTTCCGTGGTGCTCAGCCAATTCTCATCTTTTTTGCTCTACCATGTTTACACAAGTTAGGGCAGAAAGACAAAGACAGTAGTCTGACGTCTTCATTTCACAGGGCTGTCTTGCTTTGGAGTGTGTTAACAACTGAATACACATCATTCCTCCTCTGTTATTCTGGGACCCACTGAGATGAGACAGGGCCTCTGGTCAGTATCACGGGTGAGGGTGGCCGTTGAGACTTGCTGGTGAGCCCTACGTGTCCTTTTTGTTTTTAGACTAGAGTGTAACTTTCATCTCTTCTTGACTTCTTTAAGAATCATTCTAATTGATTTATGCCAGGCTCTGTAAATACGTTCACTAATGTGTACTGCATTTACTTTGCACTAAGTGCTTCATTTATTTACATTTTTGATGCCATCCTTATGGCATCACCAAGAAAGTAGGCACTATTATATTCTTTTTTTTTTTTTTTTTTTTTAGTGGGACGGAGTCTTGCTATTATCTCCCAGGCTGGAGTGCAATGATGTGATCTTGGCTCACTGCAACCTCCACCTCCTGGGTTCAAATGATTCTCCTGCGTCAGTATCCCGAGTAGCTGGGATTACAGACACCTGCCACCACACCCAGCTAATTTTTTTTATTTTTAGTAGAGACAAGGGTTTCACCATATTGGCCAGGCTGATCTTGAACTCCGGACCTCAGATAGTCCATCTACCTCGACCTTCCAAAGTGCTGGGATTACAGGCGTGAGCCACCACACCGGGCCAGCACTATATTCTTTATGCAGATTAGAATACTAGGCTTAGAGGAGTTAAGATATTTGTTTCATGTTATATAGAAGATAAATACCAATGACAGAACTTAAACCTAGGTCCTTACAGCTGGCTTTCCTTTCACCAGGAAATAAAGAATACTCAGTGAGAAGGAAGACCCTTTGGGGGACTACTTGGAAGACAAATAGACAAACAGGCACCATATACATACTTTTCCCCATGCTTTGCTCAAATTTATCTTTTGGATACTTGAAGGATAGACTCATGTAGTGTGAGACAAACAACTAGAAGTAGTAACTTCTCTAATGAGAGCCATGCCAGACATTGATGTGAAATTGGCAAGCCTGCCACAGTTGTCTCTGACTCTTGATTGAAGCTGGTACACCCTTGACTGTCTAGTCTACATGTCTGCCTCTTTTTTCCCCCCTCTTCTCCATTAGGATGGATGAAAATTATAACCTTTTGCCTCACGGAGTCAATTTCCAAGATGCCATCTTCCCAGACACTCAAGAGAACAGAAGGATGTTTTCTAGCCTTTTCCAGTTTTCAAACTGTTCCCAAGGACAGCAGCTGGCGACTTTCTCCAGTGACTGGGAAATCCAGGAAGACAATAGGGTAAGAATGGCTAAATCTTGCACCACAGCAAAACAATAGCATAGCAACATCTTGTGTGAATTTTATGACCAAAGGAGTCAATAATACTCTTCCGAGCCAGGCACGGTGGCTCATGCCAGTAATCCTAGCACTTTGGGAGGCCGAGGCAGGCAGATCTCAAGGTCAGGAGTTCAAGACCAGCCTGGCCAACATAGTGAAACCCCGCTTCTACTAAAAATACAAAGAATTAGCCAGGTATGATGGTGGGTGCCTGTAATCCCAGCTACTTGGGAAGCTGAGGCAGGAGAATCACTGGAACCCAGGAGGCAGAGGTTGCAGCGAGCAGAGATTGTGCCACTGCACTCCAGCCTGTGCGGTAGTGCGAGACTTCATCTAAAAAAAAAAAAAAAAGCTCTTCCAAAAGCCCAAAGAGTATTATCCTATCCCCTCTCTCTCTCCTGCTATCCCTCCTTACCTCCCAGCTGTTAAAAAACACCACTCAGAAACTTTGGATCCCTGAAGCTTTACTGTTTGATAAGGAGTTCTTCCCAAAGTATGAGAACAAGAGGGAATGAAGACTGAGCCTCAGTTTCCTCTTCTGCAGAACAGGGACAGTAGTAGCAGCTATATCAGGCGGGTCCAACCTGCAGCCCAGGACAGCTTTGAATGTGGCCTAACACAGATTTGTAAACTTTCTTAGAACACTATGAGATTTTTTTTGGCTAATCAGCTGTCATTAGTGTTGGTGTATTTTATGTGTGGCTCAAGACAAATTCTTCTGATGGGGCCCAGGGAAGCCAAAAGATTGGACACCTCTGATCTTTGTCAGAGGGCTGATGCAATATGACTTAAATATGTAAAAACATAAATATGTAAATCCCTTAGCATCATGCTGAAAGAGTAAGTGCTGAATACATGTGAACCGTTCTGACTGTTTTGACTGTATGATTGTTATTGACAGCGTGGGGCTCTAAGGAATTGTCATAGAGGAAAGGAAGCGTGCTGAGGGAATGAAGGGAAATTGCTGTCATAGCTACCACTTCTGTGAGTGATTCTTAACTATAGCTGGCAAACGTAGAGGTGCAGGATGGCCAAGGTGGTTGCAGAATGTAAGGGTTGGGATCATTTGGGGAGTGAGAGAGTCTTCTGGATCTGGGCCAGATGCCAGAGGTGCAGGAAAATGTTGATGATCACCAGTTTTCCAAAGCAGTGGGCATTGCCACAACCCAGTTGATGTGATACTAGGGCCATGTGAGTCTTGGCCTATGGGGCAGTGACCCATCACTTCCAGTCCTTGATTGAGGACGTTTTTAGGGCAACGTGACAGACAGCTGGAGAGAGAGTTCTGATGGGGGTATCATACGGAATAAGGCCTCTTTTTTTCTTTTTGGCATTAATGAACCCATTTGCACATGTTAAGAGACTCCCTTCTTTCCACCCGTCATGAAACGTTTGAGGGCAGGGTCTTTCTCTTGCCTGGTGGGGTGGTAGGGTCGCTGCCTTGTTCTTCTGAAGCCCCTTATTGTCTTTTTTATGTTTTCCTTCCAACTGTTATTTTAGGTTCAGGTTTGTGAATGCGTAGGTTTGTGATGTGAGTAAGTTTCGTGCCGCTGGGGTTTGGTATACTGATTGTTTCATCACCCAGGTACTGAGTACAGTACCCGAGAGAGAGGTTTTCCGTCCTCACCCTCCTCCCATCCTCCACCCTCAAGGAGGCCTCGGTATCTATTGTTGCCATCTTCGTGTCCATGTGTACTCAATGCTTAGCTCCCATGATAAGTGAGAACATGCGGTATTTGGGTCTCTGTTCCTGCATTAATTTGCTTAGGAAAATGGCCTCCAGCTCCATCCATGCCGGCAAAGGACATGATTCAAACTCTGTTTAAAGGGAGATTCAAAGGGAGCTTTGCCCAGAGCTCCCTGTACCTGGAGGCCGCCTTCATGCTCTTGCACAGAAGCTATTCCTGTGAAAGGCAGGTACGTCCAACTAAGGGAAATGGTTTATTCTTCTTTGACATATGCCTGTAATCCCAGCACTTGGGGAGGCTGAGGTGGGTGGATCACTCGAGGTCAGGAGTTCAGGAACAGCCTGGCCAACATGGCGAAACCCCATCTCTACTAAAAATGCAAAAATTAGCCGGGCAGGGTGGTGCGTGCCTCCAATCTCAGCTACTCAGGAGGCAGAGGCAGGAAAATCACTTGAACCCAGGAGGCGGAGGTTGCAGTGAGCCAAGATCGCACCATTGCACTCCAACCTGGGCGACAGAGTGAGACTCCATCTCAAAAAAAAAAAAAAAGGTTAATTCCTCAACTCCACCCTACTTACAGCAATCTAGACTTTTCTAACCCCTTCCTGATGATTTGCCAGAACTTTGCGAATACTTGTCTTATATTTTGCTCCCAACATGGTTCCAAGTACCTGGTTTTTTCTTGCTTTTCCCCTTTTTAACCTTTACTGTTGCCCGCTCCCTGTTGAACTGGACCCAGCAAGTCTAAGCCTGAGTGTCCCAAGCCCAAGTCGCTCTTAGTATCTTCCAAGTGAAATCTTCTTTACACTGGCCCTTTTGTTCTCCATTTTGTGGGCCCTTTGATTATATGACTAGATAATAGATTGACGCCAAGAGATCAGATATTATTCTGAAAATATTTGAATAGGTTAGCCCCTAAAAATTTAAGCTACATAACTTTTTAGCCCTATGGTCACATAATCTAGCTACTAACATTTTTCTGGAATTAGATTTTTCCATCATTTGGGAAAAACAAAACAGGAACAATAGGACCGTGGAGAATTGTTTTAGTGTGAAGGCAGCTGTATTTCTGTTGATCAGATGTTGATCTTGGGGGAGAATTCCTTTTTCCTTTCCCTTGAATCACCCTGGCCTCTTAGATAACACAGTGTGGGAGCATTCCAGCCTCAGAGGAAGAGAATTATTTCACTTTGCTGAGCCGCTGTGTAGCAGAATGTAGTTCGACCTGGGAGACCCTGCACGTTTCCAGACCTCTGCTTGTGCCAGTTTTATTCCCTACCCACTTGGAAAGGGACCACATCAAAGCTACACAAAATTGGCCCATTATGGACTGGGCGCGGTGACTCACGCCTGTAATCCCAGCGCTTTGGGAGGCTGAGGTGGGTGGATCACTTGAGGTCAGGAGTTTGAGACCAGCCTGGCCAACATGCTGAAACCCCATCTCTACTAAAAATACAAAAATTAGGTGAGGCTGGTGGCATGTGCCTGTAATCCCAGCTATTTTGGGAGGCTGAGGCAGGAGAATCGTTTAACTTGGGAGATGGAGGTTGCAGTGAGCTGAGATTGTGCCTCTTGAGATCCAGCCTGGACAGCAGAGCAAGACTGTTTCAAAACAAACAAAACAAGAAAAACTAGTCCGTCAGTTTACAATTGAATTTGAAACTAAAATTGACTCTTTAAAGTTTTATGCTCCCTGAGATTTTTACATACCCTGGAGTAATTAAAATAGTTGTGAATTATTGACAACTACTTGCTGCTTTTCTTCTTGTTTTTTTTGTTTTGTTTTGTTTTGTTTTTGTTTTGATGGAGTCTTGCTCTGTAGCCCAGGCTGGAGTGCAATGACATGATCTCGGCTGACTGCAACCTCCAAATCCTGGCTTAAAGTGATTTCTCATACCCCAGCCTCCTGAGTGACTGGGATTACAGGCCTATGCCATCATGGCTGGCTAATTCTTGTGTTTTTACTAGAGAGGAGGTTTTATCAGGTTGGCTAGGCTGGTCTTGAACGCCTGACCTCAGGTGATCTGCCTGCCTTGGCCTCCCAAAGTGCCGGGATTACAGGGGTGAGCCACCGTGCCCAGTCTACTTGCTTTTCTTAAAGTTTAAAGCTTTTTTTTTTTTTTTTTTTTTTCTTTTCCTGTGGTAAGGTAAGCATGAAATTATCCTACCCAGGATAAATACACGACGTTATGTCAGAAGCAGTCAACATTGTTCCTTAACCTTAGGAGGGGTCAGAATTGCTGTTATAATCACCCTTTTATTTCCAGTGAGAATAGATGTTAGACTTCTGTTAATTGGGACACACTAACACTCCGCATGCTCTAAGAGCGGTTGTTAAGGGCCCAGGACTTTGCTCAGAAGACTTTGTTATATTATGTGCCATGTCTTCCATTACAGACCCTGCAGGCAACCCCTGTGTGCCTGTACTGTCTATGTGCTGTTGTTTTGTTTTTGTTTTTGAGATTGAGTCTCACTCTGTTGTCCAGGCTGGAGTGCAGTGGCACAATCTCGGCTCACTGTAACCTCTGTCTCCTGGGTTCAAGTGATTCTCCTGCCTCAGCCTCCCAAGTACCTGGGATTACAGGCACCTGCCACCATGCCCAGCTAATTTTTGTATTTTTTGTAGAGATGGGGTTTCACCATGTTGGTCAGGCTGGTCTCGAACTCCCAGCCTCAAGTGATCTTCCTGCCTTGGCATCCCAAAGTTCTGGGATTGCAGCCACCATGCCCTGCCTCTAGATGCTGTTGATGCTGCTGTTCTTTAAGCTTCCATTCTGTTTGGGCATGGATCTGGGCTATAGTTTATAAAGACCACATCTCATTCTCTTCCCTGATAGTTCACACTTTCTCTGTGTTGGCGGATCTGGGACTCGAGAGTGGATTTGGAGGGTAGGAGATGGAAGAGGAGGAAAAGCTTGTGGAGGGCAACTCCTGCAAAACGTACGCAGGGCGACATTGAACTCGGTCCTTAGGAACTCTTGGGAACTCTTGGAAACTCCTTGGAAAGAACGCTCTGGTTCCTTTCCAGCACCTCTTCATCTTCAAATACCCCACCCACACATTAGTAAATAGCAATGTGATCTTTCTTTCAAAAGCTGCCAAGATGTCAGCAGTGTTAGCAAGTGTTCAGCGCCTCTCTCGTTCGGTGTCATGGTGTTAATGGGACTTGGGGGGATATCCTTGGCATGTTGGAACATCCACCAGATTTACTGGCAGGATTCTCTCCACACCAGCCAAGGACATTTTTCCTTCCTCATTTCTCTCTTGCTGGAC